GTCCGACTTTGTGTTCCGGCTACATAAAGTCTGACTTTGTGTTCTGGCTACATTAAGTTCGACTTTGTGTTCCAGCTACATCAAGTCCGACTTTGTGTTCCGAATACATCAAGTTCGACTTTGTGTTCCAGCTACATCAAGTTCGACTTTGCTTTCCGGCTACATCAAGTCCGACTTTGTGTTCTGGCTACATCAAGTCCGACTTTACTATCCGGCAAGTTCAACTTTGCGTTCCGACTACATTAAGTCCAACTTTGTGTTCCGACTACATTAAATCCGACTTTGTGTTCCGACTACATTTAGTCCGGATTTGCGTTCTGGCTACATCAAGTCTGACTTTGTGTTCTGACTACATATAGTCTGAATTTGCGTTCTGGCTACATCAAGTCTGATTTTGTGTTGCGACTATATCAAGTCAAACTTTCCAATCTGGCTACATCAAGTCTGACTTGTGTTCCAGCTACATAAAGTCAAACTTTCTGATCTGACTACATCAAGTCCGACTTTACAATCCGGCAAGTCCGACATTGCGTTCCGACTAGATTAAGTCCAACTTTGTGTTCCGACTACATATAGTCTGAATTTGTGTTCTGGCTACATCAAGTCCGACGTTGCATTCCAGCTACATCAAGTCCAACTTTGTTTTCCGGCTACATCAAGTCTAACTTTGCATTCCGGCTACATCAAGTCTAACTTTGTGTTCCGGCTACATCAAGTCCGACTTTGTGTTCCGGCTACATCAAGTCTGACTTTGTGTTCCGACTACATATAGTCTGAATTTGTGTTCTGGCTACATCAAGTCCGACGTTGCATTCCAGCTACATCAAGTCCAACTTTGTTTTCCAGCTACATCAAGTCTAACTTTGTGTTCCGGCTATGTCAAGTCCAACTTTGCATTCCGGCTACATCAAGTCTAACTTTGTGTTCCGGCTACATCAAGTCCGACTTTGTGTTCCAGCTACATCAAGTCTGACTTTGACTACATCGAGTCCGACGTTGCATTCCGGCTACGTCAAGTCTGACTTTGCTTTCCGGCTACATCAAGTCCGACTTTGTGTTCCAGCTACATCAAATCCGACTTTACGTTCCGACTACATCAAGTCTGACTTTGCTTTCTGACTACATCAAGTTCGACTTTGCTTTCCAGCTACATCAAGTCCGACTTTGTATTTTGACTACTTCAAGTCCGACTTTGTGATCCGGCTACATCAAGTCTGTCTTTGCATTCTGACTACATCAAGTTCGACTTTGTTTTCTGGCTACATCAAGTCTAACTTTGTATTCTGACTACATCAAGTTTGACTTTGTGATCCGGCTACATCAAGTCTGTCTTTGCATTCTGACTACATCAAGTCCGACTTTGTGTTCCGGCTACATCAAGTCCGACTTTGTGTTCCGGCTACATTAAGTTTGACTTTGCGTTCCGGCTACATTAAGTCTGTCTTTGTGTTCCAGCTATGTCAAGTCCGACTTTGTGTTCCGGCTACATCAAGTCCTACTTTGTGTTCCAGCTACATCAAGTTTGACTTTGTGTTCCGACTACATCAAGTCCGACTTTGCGTTCCGGCTACATTAAGTCTGTCTTTGCGTTCCAGCTACATCAAGTCCTACTTTGTGTTCCAGCTACATCAAGTCCGACTTTGTGTTCCGGCTACATCAAGTCCGACTTTGTGTTCTGGCTACATTAAGTTTGACTTTGCGTTCCGACTACATCAAGTCCGACTTTGCGTTCCGGCTACATTAAGTCTGTCTTTGTGTTCCAGCTATGTCAAGTCCGACTTTGTGTTCCGACTACATCAAGTCCGACTTTGTGTTCCGACTACATCAAGTCCGACTTTGCGTTCCGGCTACATTAAGTCTGTCTTTGCGTTCCAGCTACATCAAGTCCAATTTTCCGATCTAGCTACATCAAGTCTGATTTTATGTTCTGGCTATATTAAGTCTGACTTTACAATCCGGCAAGTCAGGCTTTGCATTCTGAATAAATGAAGTTGGACTATCTCTACGGTTACTGTCAGTAACGTGGAAATTTTCTAAATTTATCAGCACCAACTGGTAAAGCTACAGTTTTTGTCAGAACATGGATTTGGCAACATTCAACATTTTAAAGCTTTTCTTGTGTCTGCTGACTCCAACTTGTCTGAAACAGATTTGACTCTCGGAGACGTAACGAGTCGAGAAATAAAGCTAAAAAACAGGAAAAGCAGCAAAGATTTTATGGTCAACAAAAACTGTGCAAAGTTGAGACAAATCTGTGAACCACGCCTTCGTTCCTGCAGCCGCCAACGAGATCGAAAGTAACAAACGGAGTTCAGCTGGACAGCCGTCGTAATACATGTGAAAAATAGTTTTTTAAATGTCACGGTTATTAGCCATCATTCATGTTGCAGTGTTTCCCCTAGGTAACTTGTCATGGCGGGGCGCAGTGCCGATAGTACTGACTGACAGTTTGTGAGTGTGTGGGGGGGTTCAGCGTGAGGGGAGGCTGCCTTTAGCTTTTAAGCTAGCGCACCAGTACAGCGAGCCGCTGCTTTAGCATTACGTCAGTGCCGACAGGTGGGTGCGCGTGGTTCTGTTGACGGGGCGGGGCACCCCGCTTGTATAATTGTAGGGGAAACAACTGTGCTGGACCAAAGGGTAGCAAAGACTCTCGAGAGTCACTGACCGGTTGGGTTCCTCTCAGAGGTGAAGCCAACGATTAATAATAAACATGGAAGCATATCTTTGTGCGTTTGTAAAAGTTGAAGCAGAATTTCTTTAAAAGGAGACATTTTGTGCAAAAAGACTTGGTGACTCGCCTCATTAGTGCTCACGAGTCACCGCAGCCTCAAAGGAACTGCTGAAACTGTCACAACACAACAGAACATCTGCTCCAACTTCTCAAAGACCAGTCCAGAATGTCCTCCAAGTATGAGGAGACTCTCGTCCCAGATGAGGATCGGAACGTTAAATCATCCACACGAAGATCCCTCAGCTCCACCTGGAGGTGCTCCGATGACGCCTTCATCTCTTTGCTACCAGGTGAGGTCAAACATTTACAGGAAACAATGGCTGATGGCTAAAAAGCAGCGTTGACATTCGACGACAGCCGAGCTGGACTTCATCTCCGGTCCGTGTCGGTCCGGGCTCGTTGGCGAGGCAACGCTACGATTTGGTGCTTCTTGTTTTTCTGTCCGACAACAAAATGAGGAAGTAGAAAAAAGACACTTTGATAAGAAGAGCTTATAGAGACTGAATACATCTGACAGGTGGCAGGACGGGTGAAGAAGAACCTCTGATGTGATGGTCTACCTGACCCCCACCCCGAAGGGACATGTTGAGGCACAGCGATGAGCCAAGGTCAAAAACGGTACAATACTGTCAAAGTGCAAGAAGCTGGAAGCAGAGCGGTAGTTCTGTCTGAAACCAGGAACCCACTGGTCTTTGCGGGACCCCCTGCTGAGACTCCACTGAGCTCAGCAGAACCGCCCACTGCTGGGCGGTATCACTCGTTCACCCTGAATCCAACGGTGACTGATCAAAACACGGAACGGTGAATCTGTGCAAAAATCGCAAAAAATAAATTGGGTTTAAAACGGGTGAGACCAGACCTGACCTCTAAACCCTCAGGAGAAACAAAACTTTACAGACCAGAACCACACATCTGGTAACCATAGCAACACCTCTGTTAGAGGTCCACTTCCTGTTGGAACCATCACTGGTGTCACAATACAGAGTCCACCATCTTACATGAGGACGTTACAAAGATCAGGTCCTCAGACGAGGTCCAAACAACCTCAGGTTCCAGCCTCGCTCCTTCCAGAGGAGCAGACGGATGTTCACAACGCCAAGACGGAAAGACATCAGCAATGACCTCAGAGAAGTAGCTACTGCTGCCCGTCAATCTGGGAAAGTTCAAAGGTCATTTGGAGTCCATCACTGTAAAGAGATAATTCACCCTGAAGGTCAGACTGTGCAGTGACACTACAGGCCCAGTCAGCATGTCACAGGTCAAAGGTCATGACCTCTTCTCTCTAAAAACAACTCGAGCTCGACTTAGGTTTGGAAAGTTTCATCTGAAGGAACCACAAGACTTCTGGACCAGAACCAGACCAGAGGACAACCGTTTACCCAGAATGCACTGCAGCAAACAGCTCCTCCCAGCTGTCAGCACGGTGGAGCAGGGCTGAAGGTTCGGGCTCCTGTCAGTCACTGAGTGGACCAGACCGTCTCTGGAGACCAAAGGGTTCTGGAGCCCAACAGATGAAGCTTGGACAAAATTGGGTCCAACAGAACCACGATCCCAAATACAGCAGCTGATCTACAACAGAACCGGTCAAACAAAACAGAACCAAGGTGCTGCAACGTTCCAGTTAAGAGTCCAGAACCCAAACCTGGTGGGACCTTCAGAGAGCTGAGCAGAAACCTCATTGATGAAGAGTGGACCAGAACTCCTCCAGAACCATGAGACACAAACAGAAAACCATTGAGGGGTCTGGTTCTGGAGAAGGTTCTGTTGGAGCAGGAGCCGGAACCAGTTTGACTTTAGCACACCTTGTCAGGACCATTCCAGGCTGTAGATATTTCGGAGCGTGGCTCCGCCTGCCGACAGACATGACTCCGCCTGCCGACAGACATGACTCCGCCCAGATGAGGATCAACAGTAACGACCCATGAGGATTTCATTTTTTGAAGTTGAACAAGTAAAACTTTCCTACAAACAGGACGGATGCTGCAGAGTTGAAGAACGGACTGACATCCAACAGAAAAATGAAAAATAAAATACTTATGTACAAAAAGACGGTTTATATTCACATAAAGGTTCACTACTAAGAAAAAGACCAGTTCTACAGACGGGGCTCTGGTTTGTGACGAACAGCAACTAAAACTGAAACTTCCTGGAGCTTCGACTCTCCTGGTTCAGACCCGGACAGCTCCAGCTTCTGGCTGGTTTGGGGCTCAAACGTTGTCACAGTTTTAGTTAATTTGAGTTTTGCTCTTCTGGTGGTTTACAAATATTTTGGAGGACTTTGGATGAGCTCTGGAAACCAGCATGATCTGTCTGAAAGTATTTAATCATCTTCTCTCCAGGGAAGATCAGAAGTTTCATGGTCGGTTCCTCTGGAGATTTGATCCAATCACAGGTGAAACGAGGCGTCGCCTTTGTTTGATGGACCAGGCTTCCCCCACCATCAAGTCTGCTCTGCTGCGTTCAGGTACCACACGGGTGTTTTTCTGCCCGACGACACAACCGGCGTGTCCTCGGGTCTGTCGCAGTGGGCGTGGCCTGTTTATGAACGGAGCTGAACTGAGACGCTGGAGACAAGCTGTCCAACAGAACAAGACAATGTTGTCCTTCACGTTTGGACCTGAAACTCAGTCCCAGTGCAGGAACTGAGCCCACCTGAAGGTGAACCCTGGTCTTCTGTCCGTCAAACGTGTTGACAGGAAGAGGTGGGGCTTACAGTGACGCTGGCAGCTGATTGGATAGAAGTAAGGTGCGATGAAGGTGGATGTTCCCCCTGCTGGTGGCTGAGGACCCACAGTGACAGGACGTTAGTGTCCAGGGTGCTGGTGAGACGTAAATGGGGTGAAGGAAGGGGGTGGAGACAGAGATAGGGGGCGGGACTGGAGATTGACACCTCCTACAGGAGGAGAGCCCGCCATTGACTGAGAGACACTGAGGAGGAAGGAGAACAAGAATGAACCTTCAGGTTTGACTAGATGTCAGGAGGCTGTGTGTCTCAGGTGAAACTCACCTGATGGTGTAGCTGCTGAGGTGGGCGGGGTCGGTTACCCCGGCAACAAACAGCTTCTTCGGAGGTCCGTCTGAGTCCACTCCTCCTGAGAAACAAAGACTCAGAGATTTAGATGTGTTCTTATCTCCAGAGCAGATATCTGCCTCTCTGATCTCTCTTCCACCTGCTCCCTGTTCTCACTGCAGACCTGTGTCGTCTGCGAACAGTTCCTTCACACAAGTGAAGAAGAATCACTGAATGATTGTGGAAAGATGGAGATGAGTGTGACGTTTGCACCCAGCTGATGTTGGGATTAAACCCAGGTTCAGTTCAGGTTCTTCCAGCCAGCAGATTCTCCAGGGTCGTGGAGTAAAACCCAGAACCGGATCAAGTTTGGACAATAAAACCAAACTTGACCAACGGTGATTCTTCAGTTTCCTTTTACCCTCTTTAAAATAAATCGCTGTTCGCTGGTGTTTACCTTTTCTCTTCAGCGGCAGTAACACAGGCCATCTGACGGCGGCGCTGACCGCGGGTCTGCTGGACACAAACATCACAGACTCACACACGAGCTTTTCAGAATAAAGGCGCATGTTTATGTTTGTACCGACCTGAACCTTCTGGTTGGACTCGGAGAGGAGTTGGGCGTGACGCCGCTGTCCTGAGACGGAAACCACTGGACGGAGGCAAAACAGGAGACTCAGACCAGAACGCCTGATCCAGATCTAATCTGAAGTTCCAGAATCCAGATTAACTTTAACTCTAAACTGGCTCTACTCTAAACCCTGGATTAACTCTGAAACCTGAAGCCAACACACTAATCTAAATACCAACCGAACTAATCTCAAATTAAAATCGTAGAAAATCTCAGGGTTTTCTAATTCGCATAAATTCAAATAATTAATTTGTTATAAATTCAGTTGAATAAACGTTTCCTTATAAAACAGAGACCTTTAATTTGAAACATCTGGTCTGGATTATTTCATGTATTATCTGGATCTTGTTTCGGTTTTAGGATCTAGATAAAGAAACTGGTTTTGGACCGTCAGCTGCCCGACATCGACCGTACAAAACCCAATTCAGTCGACCCGTAATCTAGGTTTCAAAACTAATCTGATCTGGATTAGTTAAGATAATTAACTTATCTTAACTACTTCTCTGATTTTAGAGATTAGAGAATTAGTTAAGAGATCTATCTTAGAGATTCTCTGATCTCTAAGATAGATCAGAGAATCCAGGCCAAACTTTGATCTGGGCCATTTTTTAGGTGTCATCAGAATCAGAACCGCTCAGACGCTGCTTCACCCTCCAGCCTTCAGATTACAATCTCCGTGAATCCACCTTAATCCCATTATCGTTACTGTTGAATTATTTTTGTGATCACTCTGATTCTGAATCAAAGCCCCAAAGAACAATCTGATTTTTCTGGATCTGGATTCAAATTCTGAACCAAATCCAGAGGAAACCAGAGATTAGGACTGGGCGATATTTTAAAAATATCAGGATAATTTCATATGTGATACAAGATAATATTTCCACAGGAAATTGTTGCGCCAGAGTTTCAGTACAAAGGAACTTACACAAGGAATAAAAATAACAGAGTTGCTAGATATTTATTTAGATGGTCCTGGGGTTTGATCTGCTCAGAGGTGGGATTATAATGAAATTATGACTCGGTTCTGACTGGATTAAACTGGGTCAGCAACTTTAAAAGAGTCTCGTGTCATTCCTCATTTATAGGGTCCTGGACTCGTCCTTCACAGAAGTGAAGCTCAGCCTGTCAGTGGATGAGGGGGCGTGGCTAAGTGTGATCTCTGTGGATCTTATGAGGTTCTGACGTGTACGGAAATATGAGACGGTGCTTCAAAAGCCTTTCTACGTGATGTGGCAGATCCGGGTTTGGGTTAGAACTGACAGCTCTACTCCTGCTTCTCCAGGTGGGCGGGAGTTAGCACAACAAGCAGCAGCAAAATGGATGGGGGGGTTGAGGAGAACACGGGACTGGATGCTGAAGAGCAGCTGCTGAGCAAAAGTAAAACAATGGTTCAGTTATTTTGGAGATGTTTGGATTGAAACTGAGATGAGCAGCAGTTTTCTGTAGACGACGCTGGAAACAAGAGACGGATGTTGTTCTTGAGTTAAAGCAGCGCTGTAGGTGGAGCATGAAGCTGCAGGTCCCACAGACTTCAGCCTCCTGCCCTGACACAACCCACGGCTCAGAACTCTTTTGGCCGTGCCTTACGAGAGGAACGGTGGCGACACGAACAATCAGCTGCTCATCATATCGCTAAAGACACGGTCCCAGTCTCAGCTGTGGATCGACACAGCTAAAGACACGGCCCCGGTCTCAG